CGCTGTCTGAACTTCAGTAGATATCATCATTCATCATCGTTTAACACAATTTAAAACTATACGATTAAGATCGATACTGATCCAATTTTACATTTTACATTTAGTGTGAAATGTTACATTTTTCAAGTACTTTTTACACAAACATAAGGATAGATGAGGATGATGTGCTGAGAGTGTATTAACCCTCCTCTCTCCATATATCATTATCCCTATCTGTTTACTATCCAATGTTAATTACTATAATTTAAATAATGATATAATAAACAATATCGAGTTTACTAATAAAAATACAGCATATTGTATATAATTTAATGTGTTAAATTTATTTAGTTATCACAACACTGCATATGTTTGNTATAATTTAATGTGTTAAATTTATTTAATTATCACAACACTGTATATGTTTAAATAAAAATTCCATGGAACTTAACATGCGCGAAAACGAGACATAAATGTAATATATTATCTATTTCAAAAGTAATTAGACGATCAACTGTCATTTTCACCATTAACACAGAATTACATATCATAAATTAAATTTCATTGCATTTTTTTAAATCAATGCAAGTATATAAAGTCTTGGATCGTTTATTCATTCGAAAGAATTATAATAGTGCAGTAGTTTGTTCTAACAACCAGATTTTGTGCAAAGAAATTTGTTGTAGTTACATTTTTCGTTTGATAAAAAATTAAACTGTAAGTATAAAATGAATTTTTGTAATTATATATACTATTTTTAATGTCATAATATATTTAAAAAAATAAGAATTTTATATTATCAATTTAATTGAACTAAAAAGTTTTTTATCTTTGCAAATTTATTGGAATTCATATTATATAAATTTACATTATAACATTTTATTGTCTTAATTTACAAAGAATATTATAATAAAATGTTAATTATTTCAGATTTTATATCCACTAGCGATTACTTGCTGTTTCAATTGCATTTCGACGAAATTGAAAACTTATACTGTAACAAATACTTGTTGCATCAATTGCATTTTGAGGAATATATAAATAATGTAAGTTCTTTAAATTGTTATTTTAATATTATAAGTTGATTATTAACCAACAGTAAAATTAAATTTTTTTACTAATAATTTATTTGACGTAAAAAGTTATTTTTCTATAAATAAAAATTCGTTTTATCATAATTATTGAATAACGGTAAATAAGTTTAAATATTTTTTTCTAAATAAAGTTATTATTTTTTATTTTAGTTATCATGCCGCAAAATTCTTTTGTACCATTCGATTTTCTACCAGAACCTACTATTGAACTTTTTGTCGAAAGCGAATCTCGAAATTATCGGAATATATGCAAATACCCTGATATGTTTAGAATTGATATATTAGAAAAATTTAGGATAATACATAACCTCAAAAGAGGTTATCCTGTTTTAGTTTTTTACAGTGAAATAGACAACATCATTAGTTGCGGAAATTTCCAATGTAACAATATCCTTTTTTATAATCGTGATTATTTTAAAGTTGAAGAATTTATATTAATTCAACATGCTAGGGATGTGCAAGAATTAGCTAAAACAATATTATGTTCCGATTGTAATATTCGCTGTACATACCTTATGATTGATGTTAACTATTTTTAAAATCTTACCATACCTAAAATTAATTTAAAACAAATTAAAAATACAAGAGTAAATAATATTGATATAAGATCTTTAGTTCAACATTTTTAGTTATGAAAAAAATAATAAAATATCGAAATATGTTTTGTATGTATTTAAATAGAATTTTTACTCTGTTAAATAAAAAATTTTTTTTAGTAAAATGGATGTTGTAAAAAAACTTAAATCACAAGCTAAAAATGAATATGTCTCTATGTCATCATTACAATTGGATCGTCCATATCCAGTAACACAGCTGAGAGCTGTTGAAACCAGATATGGACACACCATAATTGCACGATTGGAAAATGGTTGCCAGTTATGTTTACCAAAATCTATATTTCTTTCCGATGAAGAAATAGAGCATTTTAATAGCAGTGAAAAAAAATTATGTTTAATATATCATGGAAAACGTGGTAAAGCATATAACTTTTCTTTTATATAATTCAAAAAATAATAAAACGTTCATAATTTTTTTACAAACAATTAACAATAATTTACGAAAAACTTATAATTTATAATTAATTAATTATAGTCTATAATCTGATATTTATGTTATAACTTTATTTTACTAACATAAAATTGTATTGTAATTGAATGAAATAAAATTTTCCTAATAACAAATTATCATTTTGTTCATATTTTCACATTGTAAGTTTAAAACTTTATTAATAATTTATATTTATATTTTTAAATTTAAATTTATAAATAATAATTCCTACACATAAATATATACATATTAATAATCAAAAAATAAATCTATTTAATTTATGGGGAGAAATTAATATCGGTATAATCATTAATATTAATATATTAGTTATATGAAAATGAATGAAAAAAACTATTTTTATAATTTTAAAATGATATCTTATACATATAAATAGTACTATTTTGCTTGCAGAAAATTAATTTGTTGAAGGTTTAATATTATTTAAAGAGAAATGTACTTTAATGCGTAATCCAAATGTACGGGTGAACACCACACACTAGATAGATGTGTATAACTAGAATTTTATAATACAAACGAAAAACAGAAGAACACAGTTATAAATACGCGAACTTTAGCTATATATATAAATGTATCGCAAGTCAACTACACCGGTCAAATTCGGCTATCTTTTAAAAATACTACTATGGAATATGTTCATATGTGTGTATTGATATAGTGTAATTTTGTTAACTCGGGAACTTAATCGTTACAGTGCGTACTATTAACTAAGAAAGCGTGTGGATACAACATAATTTCGCCAAAATCGCACGAGAGCACAAAACTAGAACAACAAAATAAAAGACCAGCTAAGGTGTACGTCGAAAACGGAAAAGAACGCAATATCAGTAATCCATATTCGGCGGCGGCCTTATCTCAGTGTCAAGGGGTCACCGATTGTCATATTAATAGCTGGACGGCTGTATCGAGAGAGACACGGGTGAGCGCCAACCTAGAGCAAAAGGCGATGCCGTGCCAACTCCCCCCCACCAAGCCGTCAGTCGATCTCTTTACCCGGCCGGTTTTTGTAAACAAATTGTCGCATCATACACAGTAGATATAAGTAATAAACAATTGTTGACTTACCGCCATATTCCTTATGTGTGTGGTCATAGATATTGCGTTCAAGACTTACCGTATTAGACTGAAACATTCAGTCTCGTTGGCAAGAGGGAAAGGGCTATTCGGTCCGGTCATCCGTAACCTACGGATAACATAAGGACCGAGGAGGCAGAGGAAAGAAACTCCTCGACCGATTACACGGGACGAGGGGTTTCAGGAGGGGAATCAGGAAGATGATGAGGAGAATCAGTAGCGGATGGGCCCGTCAGGAACTCCTCCACGGCACGACCCAGATCGTCCACGTCCACGGGGCTTGGCCCCGATGTTGTTTCCCCTAGTGTTGGCATGGCTGGCGTTGGCCGTGCGGCACCGGCAATCCGTACGATGGCCGACAGCGGCGGTGGACGGGTCCTCGGTGCTGGGGTAGGCGGCGCCGGTTCGGATGGTGGACGGACTGCCGCTTCCCTCTCGCGGTCCTTCCGCTCCTTGAAAGCACGGTTAATGCGCTCCCTCCGACGTACGTCGGAGGGAGTGAGCTTCCGGTAGCCCGGGTGAGCCGGTGGCGGCTGGGTGGCCGAGCCCGCCCCAGAGGACGTACTGGCCACGTCGGACGCTCGGGACCGGTCGTAGGGTGCAGAAGCGGGGTGCTCAGCAGTTGAACTATTTTAATTTTAAACATGATACGTGAAGTTTGCGTGAGGGATTTTGTTCTGTCAGGAACACCCCTTTGCCTACTTTTTCCGCTAGTCTGACAGGGCCTCACCACTTCGGCGTGAAGCCGGCACAAAATTTTTTTTGTTTATTAAATAAGTGGTGTGCCTTATAATACACTACGTCTCCGATCGTAAAAGGTTTTACTACGTGTTTCATCGGAACGTTATCTATAATTTTGCCGGCCTGATGTTTGGGTGATGGGCGGCTATTGTTTACATTGTCGGCAGTCGCCGTGTTTACATGTACGACTNTTGTCGGCCGTCGCCGTGTTTACATGTACGACCGCCCAGTCACCAGGTCGTTTCGCCTCTCGGCCGAGAACGAGTACGGAAGGCGGATAACCGGTTTTTTCATTCCGACGATTACGCAACGCAAATAGTATCGACGGTATTTTAGTGTCCCAGGCGCTATGGTCACCCTCAACTAGTAGGGCGCGGAGAGCTTTTTTTAGCTCCTGATTTTTCCGCTCTACCGGATTCGCGCGGATGATAAATAGGTGTGGTCCAGGCTTCCGCCCCCCATCTATTTATCGCGTTAATCATTTCGTTAGAAACCAGATTCCGTCCGTTGTCGCAAAGCAATACGCGGGGGTACCCAAAACGTGAGAAAAATTTGCGTTCGAGCGTGTCTACAATCGTCTTTGTAGTCGCTGCGCCTATCGGGTACGCTTCGGTCCAGCTACTGAAACAGTCAGTTGCTACTAACAGGTTCGTTTTTCCCCTTGATGTTCTGGGGTACTCACCCATTAAGTCGATACTAATGACCTCCCACGGTTGTCTTGGTTTGCGCGAAGTTAGAGGATCATTCGGACGCCTATTTAGGGCCTTCGTACACGCGCAAACATCACACGATTTTACGTACTCGTGCAGACCCGTATTAAAAAATTTGGCGCCCCCGGGCATATAATTTATACCCCCCCCCCCAATCATCACGACAATAAATAATAATAATAATATAACACTAATTATTTCGTTCATAATTGATTATTTGATATTAAAATCCAAAAAATCCAACTTAATAATTAATAAATGAGAATTATTTAATACTTTTTTTAATTATCAAATTAAACAAATTAAAAATACAATTTTCTTTTTTTTTAAGTATTTTTTACCTTGCCTGAATATTGGAAAATTCTTCAATTATGTCGCTATAATTAATCTGATGAGCTAATTGAGATTCAATATTTAAAATTGCCAATGCATTTAGTCTGTCTGAGGATATATTTGACCTTAGATATGTTTTTATACGTCTAAGTGTTGAAAATAACCGCTCTGCGGTACAATTGGTCGCTGGAGTACAAAGAAACATACGTAATGCTATACTTACATATGGAAAAATATCCTCCAACTCATGTTTTTTCATCATGGTACTCATATCAATTATACTTTTAGGATGATATTTTATATTTTGTAGATGACTTTGGAAATGGATACACTCATTTACAAAAGTTTCATCTAAATCACTTTTGTATATCAAATATAAATTTTCAGCTGATACATATACTTCTGATGTTTTCATTGTATCAAGTTTTAAAAAGAAACTGTACTTATTTATTACATTATCATATGCCAACTTTCTAGTAGTCAATTCTTTAATTATAGAGTCACAAGTTACATAATATGTATTGACTTTGCATTCTAAATCACTAGGAAAATCAACTTCTTCTAGATCAACTATTTCATCATTTTTTTTGTTTCTTTTTCTTTTACGTTTACAAGTTGTTTCATAAACATTTACATCACATTTTTTTAATGCTTTTTCTTGATATTGTAAAAACATTTATATCAATATTAACTGATTGTAGAAGTTTACTAAAGGCATTAAATCGTTGTAGTAAGTCTTCCCAAAATAATAACATAAATGTAGTTTCAAGACGATTCATTGCATGATATAAACCACGAGCTTCATTACATGTAATAGATTTTTCATTTAAATTGTTTGATAAGTCAACTAAAGTTTGCTTCACAATTTCCCAATTATCATTAAGAGCTTTGCAAGCAACATATCGCGCCGACCATCTCGTTTCAGATAGATTTTTCAATGTCAAATTAACTTTAAGTAGATCCCAACGGTGAGTAGAAGCTGAAAAAAAGGTATAAACATTCTGAATAAAACAAAAAAATGAATTAGCTTCTTTACAACAACTAGCCGCATAAGATCCAATCAAGTTAAGCGAATGAGCTGAACACGGAATAAAATCAGCCAAAGGTGCAACTTCACGAATCCTAGCTTGAAGACCAGAATAAACGCCAGACATATTTTTAGCGTTATCATAAGATTGTCCACGTAAATATGAAATATCTAAATTGTATTTTTTTAATATAGAAAAAACTGCATCAGCCATATTTTGAGACTTGTGTCCAACATTTTCCAAAAAGCATAAAAATCTTTCTACAGGTAACCCATCACTGTTAACATACCTAAATATAAATGAAAGTTGATCAATATGACCAATATCGGGAGTTGAGTCAATGCTAATTGAAAAATATCGAGCTTTAATAATTTCTTCAACCACTTTATTTTGAACTTTAACTGTCATTAACTTAATAAATTTTTCATATGTACTATGAGACAAATAGTTTGTGTGACCTTTGCCATGATTTCCATGATTCGATATATGTTTGGTCAAAAACGGATCAAATTCTGCTATCAATTCGAGACACATCATAAAATTACCATTGTGTAAAGATCCAAACTGCTCATTATCACCTCTAAATGACAAGCCACGACATGTTAAAGATTTTATAACAGCACAAACCCTTATTAGGACATTTTTCCAGTATTCTTTTTCTGTTTCTACTTGATACTGAAGAGTTTTATCAACCCTATTTAATTTTGATGATCTATTTTTCATTTTAATTACACATGTTTTGTGTGAAAGGGAGTTTTCATGCTTGTTGATTGATTTTGGTCTTTTCCAATCTGAGAAACCATTTCTTGAAAATTCTGAAGAATTTTGAAATAGATAACAAGGAACGCAAATAACTGCACCTTTACTTTCTGAATAAACAAGATAACTTCTTTTACATTTTTCCCCATTGATTAAAATAGTTTTAAAATAACTTTTATTCAAATATCTATGAACATTTCTGAATGAACCTCTACGAACCGTCTGATAAAGTCGTTTGGATCGACTAAAATTTGAATCTAAATTTTGACTGTAGCCGTTTTTACATAAATAATCAATAGTAAATTCACTTATATTCCAGTCAGCTGGATCAGTCTTAAAATGCGAGTAAAAACAAATAACCTTATAAAAATTGTGAAATAATAAACATTACCAATAATTGGTAATAATAATTATTGTTTGTTTTAATTAAATTTAAATGTTTTAGAATATATTTTCAATAATAGTAAAAATATTGATCTTTACCCTAGTATTTTAAAATCATGGGAGAAATCAGTATCATTTAGAATTGTATCCTTAATTTCATTTAAAGTAATCTCACTATTGTCTGACCTAGAATATTAAAAACCAAGTTAAGTTTAGTTAAAAATATTGTGTACAATACTATAATAGGTATATAAAATATTTTCATAATTTATATAATATAATTTCTTTTTGATAAAAAAAGTAAAAGAAAAACCTACTGTAATGATTTAACATCTTTTGAATTTTTATTGGCTGAACCATCTGTGTAACTATCTATAAAAATTAAAATATTTCTTATAAAAGATATCAATAATTATTGAACTAGTATCAAAAGTAATAATATTATATTTACTTTTTATTGAGTTATTCAATTGATGAAACATTTTATTAACTATTTTGGTGTTTTTTAATGTTTTATCTAGCTTTTCTTTTTTTTCTTTAGCTAACTTACGGTAGTAAGCACCACTAGCTTTTATTCTTTTAGGTGTAGTTGCTATTATTAGAGGAGTATAATTTACCTACATAAATATAAATTAAAGATATCTTTTATCATTAATATATGAATATTATAAACTATAGATATATATCACAAATGTTTAATAAACAATTTTAAAACCAATATTAATAAAAAAATATTTATGTATATTGTGCAATTTTAACTAACACAATTTGTAAATAATATATTTATTATTATTTATACTAGACTAGTAACAATTACAAATAATTTAAACCGTATAGGTAAAAATAATAAAACTTACCTCATTATATAATATAATATAAATGTTATATAGTATTATATCATATGACAATCATCAATGTATCAATTCATCACACTTTCATAATGCATACACAGTACACACATGAGGCATAAGCAAAACACAGAAGAATTAAATATAATATAAGTCATAAGTGTATAATGTACTAATAAAAATATATTAATACTGTCGTCTGTCACAATTTACAATGCAATACCATTGTATATCGATATCACTATACAATTATCATTGTTTTGATTTATTCGGGAAAATAGTTGATCAATTTCTAAAATTAGATTTTTTCTAAATATCTTTATCATCTAGCTATTATTATTAATATTTTGTCGATTGTAGAGAATAATCACGGATCAAGATTATACTATATATATACTACATATCTTAGTTTGTAGCAATAATACAGCTATATAAACAGTAGTTCATAACATTTTTCTAAAATACAAATTACAAAAATATTAAATAAAATGCAATTTTTTTTTTTTTCATTACATTTTTAAAATAAATTTTGCTAAAATATTTTGCCGCCCCTGAAACATGCCGCCCCCGGGCATATGCCTACCCGTGCCACCCCCTAAATACGGCCCTGTACTCGCGTACTATGTTTTTTAGACTCTTCCAATAGAAACGCTGTTTGATCGCTCGGTAGGTTTCTTTCCATCCTGGATGACACGCCAGTGCATCGTCGTGGTACCGCCTAATCACACGCTGTGATTTGGCTACTGGTATTACAGCTGGTGTGTCTACACCCATACGAATGCGTATAAGTCCGTCTAACATGAAATATTCGTTGTTGTTCTTGCTGGACTTCTTATTGTTTTTTCTGGCGTTCTCCTTGAGTAATTGTTTCATGATGGATGAAAGAAACGGGTCGTCGTTTTGCCACTCTTGTATTCCCCCTCCCCCCGTAAAAGGCCTTTTATTTGACGCGCCGTTTGTTTCGGTTAAGGCAAAAACATTGTCAAGAGTGGCCCGCGTATTATCCGACGTTCTCGTTGTTGGTGCGCCCACCAGATTATCGTCGAGTAACTCTTCGTCAACAGGGGGCCCCGCGGTCGGATAACGTGACAACATGTCCGGTCCTTCGTTGTGTTTCCCGGGTACATGTGTCGTTGTAAAATTCAAATTACCTAGATGTAGCGCCCACCTAGTTAATTTTGAATTGTTGTCCTTTGCTCTGTGTAGCCAAGTCAACGTGGAATTATCTGTAAATAATTCGAACGGAGAGTACTCTAAGTACGGGCGAAATTTATCAGTCNGTAAATAATTCGAACGGAGAATACTCTAAGTACGGGCGAAATTTATCAGTCACCCATATAATTGCTAAGCATTCTCGTTCTATGGCGGTGTAACGTTTCTGCGTTTCTGAAAGTTTCTTACTGGCGTAGGATATGATTCTTCTCTCTCCCGATCCATCTCCATGTTGAAAGAGTATTGCTCCCACTCGCATCGGCTTGAAGGCAGAAAGTTTTCGCGTNCTCGCATCGGTTTGAAGGCAGAAAGTTTTCGCGTAGTCAGGAGGACTCAGTCGTGGGGACTCACACAGGGCCTTTTTTACCTGTTCAAAAGCCCTTTGATGGTCTTCCGTCCACAACCATTTCGTCCCCCGTTTTAGTAGATTTGTCAGCGGCACTATTGTTTCGGCGTAGTTGTCGACGAATGGACAATACCAATTAAATATGCCGTGACATCTAAGTAGGTCCCTGATATTCCGTGGGACCGATAGGACGCGGATGGACTCGAGTTTTTCGGGCTGCTTGTCTATGCCCTCACCGTGTACAATATGGCCAAAAAAGGAAATTTCGGAAAACCCTATTTTACAATTTTTTGTGTGACATGTCAGCCCGTGTCGCTCTAATCGTTCTAGAACTTTGCCTAAATGTTCTAAATGCTTTTCTAAACTACTTGAATAAATAATTATGTCGTCCAAGTAAACTTGGACAAAATCATCTAGACATCGTCTAAGTACTTCATTCATAAGTCTTACAAAAGTCATAGGCGAATTTTTGAGTCCATACGAAAGTACTCGAAATTGAAACAAGCCCCTTCTTGTTCTAAATGCCGTAAACGTACGGGCTTTTTGATTTAAAGAGCAATGTCAATAACCCGACTTTAAGTCGAGAGTCGTGTACATTTTTGCCCCTCTCATGTTCCTAACCATGTCGTTTAGATTAGGAATGGGGTACGCGTCCGAAACGGTTACTTCGTTTAGTCCAACCGGTTATATCTAACTGCGTCAGTTCTGGTTTGCGGATCGTATGTCGTGCGCCCGATTTCTAACAAGCGGTTGTACGTTTCTTAGTGTCTAAGTGTATTGTTCCTGCTGAGTAGTCCCAGGCGACTTTCTGATCAATCAGAAAATCGTCTTAGAACACCAGAAAAAAAACCAATTCAAAAAGAAACGACAAAAACAACGGGTAACCAGTTAAGGTGTACGTCGGAAACGCAACAGAACGCAATATCAGTAATCCATATTCGGCGGCGGCCTTATCTCAGTGTCAAGGGCGGGGAGACAACCGATTGTCATATTAATAGCTGGACGGCTGATATCGAGAGAGACACGGATGAGCGCCAGCCTAGAGCAAAAGGTGGTGTCGTGTCAATCCTTTTTTTTTTTTTGAAACATTGAAATATGCGTTTTTTATTGATGCATACTATTTGTCAGTACAAATAGCCATCGCTTGTTGATTTTTAAATTAATGTGTTAAGTATAGTAAAATAAATCTGATTTTTGAACACATATCTATAACAAAGGTGACAATTGTGACTGCAATATTAATGTAGTATCCATCCGCCGGGGACGTCAATCGCACGAAATATTTACCATGTATTTACTAGTAACCTGAAGATATCAAAAGTGACCGTACACCAAACACAATGGACAGTGTAAGCGGCAGCACATCCATCGAAACGTTGTGGGAACATATTAAATAGATGGACGCTTCGTGTATCAGATTATTTTTTTGTATAACGGCTGCAACAACTTTTTTGATTTTGCTGCATTTCACACAAACCGTTGACAGCAGCAGATATCAGATTGTAAAAGTAGCGACAGCGATAGTGGATACGAAGATGCGGATGATATTGACAATTTAAAAAATAATTTGTTTGTAATAACTAATCGCTTGGACGCTCTCGGTCGAAATTACATAACAATCGAAGATCGTGTTTTTATATTGGAAAAACGTATCGAAACAGTAGAACGAACATGCATATGAATGTCAACGGGTGTTATTTAACCAAAATAGCTGACACACAAAATAAATAAAATGATATTGTACTACAAATATAGTTACATTTTTTACAAATGTAGAAACTGTACTATACTAATACACTAATAGATTTTTCAAAAAATCTAAGCGAGTTGTAGTATTTATACGTGTTGATGTCTACCAAAAAAAAATCAGACCATGATAATTTTTTATACAAAGTTAACAAAATGTTTTTTTTTTTTTGGTCGTGTTTTTTACACACAAATAATTTTGGTTCGTGTTAAGGTCCTTCTAAAATTAATTTGCTCAGTTTAATCATTCCCCTGTTTACGACTTACGCCGTTGTTCGGTGTACGGTCATTCGTTTAGAATAGAAGTTATTTGATCCAAAATGGATAATGGAAAAGAAACGTATAATGCGTATGAAAATCGTCTCAAAGAAAATTCAGGTAAGAAATAAAAACTGTATGATATGACAATCGAAACTAATTTTACGTGAAATTACTTTTCCATTTTTCTCGTTTAGGATATGATGTTTGTGGATTTTACTGTTCGACGTCTAATGATCAGCAGACTAGAATAAAACTCTAAAAACACAAAGAGTTTGCCGATTATAACACTCGTTTAAAGACTTTTGAAAACGTCCAAAAAAATTGGAATAAAAAATATCAAGACTTTGTGATGCTGAATTTTTTACATAGGTATGGGACTATACAGTATTGAATGCATTATTATGATTGGTACATTTATTCAAATACATTATTTATAAGTGTATATAATTTTTAGGTAATGGACAAAATGATCTAATGTTATGTTATTGCTGCAGTCAAGGTTTGAAAGATTGGGATGATGAAGACGACCCATGGGTAGAACATGTACGTTGGACTCCTAGCTGTACTCATGTATTGTTATGTAAGGGACAGTTATTTATCAAAAATAATAAAATAACGAAATAAGACTACTATTATTTGTTACTCTTATATAGTATTGTAGTTTAAAAAATTAATAAAAATATTTAATATTGTATCTTGTGTGTTATATGAAACTGTATAAAAGTGTGTAATAAATAAAAATACCAATTTTCGATTTAGTAAAAAACATATTATACTACTAAATTTATAATTTGTATAATCTTAGAGGGTTTTTGTATTTACAAGCCTTCAAATCTACAAAAAAAAATCAGACACGTGANGGGTTTTTGTATTTACAAATCTTCAAATCTACAAAAAAAAATCACGTGTGACTTTATCAGCTTTATTGTGTTCGAATTATGTGTATATATGTATTTATTTTCTAACTTAAATGAAAATTAACAAAAATATTGCTAAACTCGTGTGTNTTAAATGAAAATTAACAAAAATATTGCTAATCTCGCTTGTTTTTTCTTTTACACTCAAACCCTTACATCCAGTAAATATTCTATACGTTTTTTATCGTTAAAATACGTTTTACTTTGCTATCTACAACATTGTGTAAAGTAAACAATAATATCCATGTAAGCAATTTATTGATCCCCACTAGTAAGATATTGAATTCCTAGGGACTTTTATCCCAAACAATTAAATTTATTGTGCCTAAAAATATAAATATTACTATATAACTGCAGAAATAATCCTTTATCTGTTCATTCACTTTTTGGTGTTTTTATGGTGCTTTTCATCTATATCTACAACTGTGTTTCACGGCTATTCCTGTGCATTTTCAACAGTTATTAAATTGTAAGTAAAATTTTTAAATTGTTATAATATCTTCACGTTAAATGCATCTATTTATTTTTAATAATCTATATTAATATATGTGTATATTAACTACACATATATTATTATAACATATACTATATATTACTATATATTATAATATATTACTATATATGGCTTATTAAATGCATATAATGAAATTTTAATTTTATACATATATTTTATATATATTCATGATAAATTTCAAAAAAGTTTTTTCATTAATTAAATTTGTTTACTATAACTCTAAATAAATTAAAAAGAAAAAAAAATATATTTATATATATGGTACTTGTTGCATTGAATGGTAAAATGACGTTAATGATTACATTTGTTGTGCAAATAAAATTTTCATTCGTCTTTTTAGTACTAATATATTTTTTTTAACCCTTTTATGTATTTATTTATTTTAAAAATCGATAAACTGATGAAATTTGCAAAAAATTGATTTATTAAATACATTTTTTTTTTATTATAATCTAAAATAATTTATTTTATTTTAACCAGTTTTAAAAATTTTTTGTGACACAATTGTAGTCCGCACAACAATGCATGATTAAAACTAAAATTATTATATTTTAAGTAATACAAACACAAATTTTTAGGTTAAATATAATAAAAAAAACCATTCCAGTATCTTTTTCGAGTGTATCTGTTTTCGTGTATTTAATCAAAGTAAGTTATTATCTATCACTATTCAGTTCAAAATGTACTTATCAGTTTACAATAATTTTAGTCATTCAAAATGAAATTACCAAAAAGTGTCAATAATGTAGAACATCTGGTTGAATACATGGAAAGATCTGGATTTTTAGAAATAGCTGAAAATTTGAAAATTTTTCGAAATCGCACAGCTTTTGACCGGGGAGTAATGAATGATGGGTTTATTATCCGCGATCCGGAATCATTACGAACCATTCGGAGCTGTGCCGATTTATATAAAAGAGAAATTCGAGCGAGTAATTTAATGATGCTGTTCGGGGAAAAAAATTATTTAAAATTTATTTTTTATAATGTACGCTATCCCAACGGCTCCACGGCATCTATTTGTTGTTATGGCACATGTTTTGTAGAGTTACTAAATATTCAAGAACTTGTAATTGTACAGAAGGTGGTTGAGGAGTTTGTTCTCAACCCCTATTCTATATACTTTTTGATATTACATTTTCCACCTCACTGTTCGTGTATTTTGTGATGAACAAATATTTACATAGATAGTGTAGATTAATTGTTGTATACATATATATATATATAGTTTTGTAAATATATTTAATGTATTATATTGAAAAATTAAAATAAATATGTAAATATGTTGTATTAATGGTGTGTATGTGTGTACTTGTTTTCACTAACTTATAGAAAAAAAAATGTATTTATTTCCTTATTAAATAATCTAATGGTAATAATATAGTAACAATCAGGTCATTTGTCCGGGTATGTATCGTAAAAAGAAATGGTTAATAGATTAGTATTTATGTTGTAAAGGTTAAAGAATATTATCTTATGTAAACATGTATGTATATGTGTGTGTGTGTACTACGCTCCGATACACACTCAATGATTTCTATAGTATATGATGACAAATAGTTTGTAAACAACTGTATTATTAAAAAAAAAAAACTCAGTTTATAAATGGTTAGATGAGTACACATAGCTGAAGGAGTGCATTGGCTGTATACTAGCTCAGTGATTTATCTTAAAAATTAACAAGTAGAGAGAGAAGAGGAGTAGTATGCTATGAGAGAGTACCGATATGAATTAAATTAATGGTCTCGTGGCAAGCGGATGGAGGCGACGAAAAAAAAAAAATCATTCCACTGTTTTCGAGTTATGTGCAAATTTCAGGAAATTTGTATTACGCGGTGTCCTCCTCCGTGTCATGCTGATGATAGTAGTTATTGTTAAAAATGTATGTATCAGTGTCGAGTTGTACACCATTAATACAACATTCACCATAAATATAGTTTACTCACGAATAATTTTGGTGTGTAGAAAATGGAACAATTAAAACAAAAAATGAATAATCAAGCCAAAGGTATGGAGTACAT